AACCCTATTTGTCTCTGGGTTGAGATTTTCAGTTGGTGAACAGGACAAATAGCTAGTCATAGAGACAATGTACAAGAAAAACTATAGGTTTGCTGGCTGAATTCTACAACCAGGCTCAGGCAGAGGTGACACTTGACTTCTACAAAAAGCTTCTGGAATGACTGGGGACTTTTCAGCATTTCTGAGTTATTTGTAGATGAAAACTGGAGCTACTTAGAATTTGTTGCAAAAAATAATTACAAGAGAAGGAACATGCAGAGAGTACAGATGAAACACAATTGGCCATAATTTGACAACTATTGGAGTTGAATGAGAAGCATATGAAGAATTCTATTTAATTTTTTTTTTTTTTTGATACAAGGTATCACCGCTCAGTCTAAGGTGCACTTAAACGGCCCATCATCTCTCCTCCCTTTCTGAAAGCTGGGATTATAGTCATGTCCTCCAATACTATTCCTTTTGAGTCTGTATATGGCCAAATTTTTCTGTAATAAAATACTTAAAAATTACAAAGAAAGACCAAAGGCTGTTAAGTAATTCAAACAGTCCAACTTCTCTTACACATTCTAATTTCTTAAACATACTTACAATATAATTATATGTACATAAGTTATATGTGTGGTTGTTATTGGTTGGTTTCAATTGTTAATGTGATTGAATTAAGAAAATTGGTAAAGGGCACCTCTGAGTGTGTCTGTGAAGACACTTTAAGTATGGCTTGGCTAAAGGAAGTAGGTCAAGGCTCTCCCTAATATAGTTATACTCTTCTTCCTGTCTGCCTTAACTTGAGATGTTGTCCGTTGGGTGTTGGTCTGGTGCTATGTATTCAAATGCTAATTTCAGTGCCTTGAGAACTGGTTGTGGCCCTGTCATGGCTATTGTTATAATGTTGAGCTATCTCCTCTAACCATGTGATGAGAAGGAATGTTCTTCCATTATCCCTGATTGGCTGATTAAAAAGCCTATACCTGGGCAGGGCAGAAGGAGGTAGGCATGGCTAGGTTCAAGGACTTTGGGGACACAAGGATCATGGTATGGAGAAACAGGAAGAGGAAGAGGAAGGAAGGAGAGCCACCATAAGTTAATGTAGGATAAGCTCTTGGCTGGCACGGATGGAAGAAGTGGCCCAGATGAGAGATTAAGCAAGTATTTATGGACTTATGGATGGGAGGTAGGCTGGGATGGGGCTGGGAGGCAAAGGTAGTTTAGAGGGTTAATATCTGCCCTGCTCCAGGTAAGATAAGCCTATTCTAAAATCTATCAGGCATCTGTGTTCTTTATTGATTATAATAGCAGGTTAGATAATACTGCTGTAATTGTAGGGCTAATAAACATTACTAGACTATACTTTTAAATTAATAGCAAAGCTGTCTCTCTTTCCTGTACCTTGTGAGGTGAACAGCCTCCTCTTCTACAGGATCCCTCTGTCATGATGGTGTGCCTAGGGGCATAGAGCCCAACAACCATAGAATGATCCCTGTAAAACCACCAGACATGATAAGACCTTACATACTTGAAGTTCTTTCTGGCAAATAGTTTGGTCAGACTATGCAATTATAATACAGTAATGAAGTAAGTCAAACCCACCTAGTAATGTGATTGTCTAGCAGAGTTTGGGACTATAACACACAGAGACACACAAATTTTGACTCTGTCTAAATTGCCAATTGGCATGTGAAACAGGGGACAATCTTATGGGAGTAAGTCTTAATGTAGGGGAGAAGGACTGCCTCTCGTACTTTCAGGCATAGAGGGACATGAAGGAACAATTGCTTAGCATAACTGTCCTAGGGTTCCATTGCTGTGAAGAGATACCATGAACCTCGGCAACTCTTAGGAAGAAAAACATCAAATTGGGGCTGGCTTGCAGTTTCAGAGGTTTAGACCATTTTCATCATGGCAGGAAGCATGGCAGCATGCAGGCAGACATGCTGCTGGAAGAGCTGAGAGTTCTACATCTTGATCCACAGGCAGCAGAAGGAGACTGTGAGTCACACTTGGCTTAGCTTGAGCATAGGAGACCTCAAAGCCCACCCCCATAATGACATACTTCCTTCAAAAAGGCCATACGTCATCATAGTGCCCCTTGATGGCACTCAGGCAAGCATGAGTCTATGGGGATCATTCCTGTTCATACCACCAGAATAACTAAGCCTGGAGTATGTAAATATTGTCCTTTGCAATTCTATAATCCATCCATACCTCATTGAAGAACAGCTTGTGGGATTACATTCCAGTTTTGATATGTCATCTGCTTCCTGCTAAGTCCTAACAAATACACCAACTTCAAGCTAGAAATCATTAGATATAGCAAAACTTTTAGGTTTTGGTTTTTTGTTTGTTTTGTTTTTGCTTTTTGAGGGTTTCTGTGTGCTGCCTGGGAACTTGCTCTCTAGGCCAGGCTCCAACTCAGAGTCCGCTGCCTCTGCCTCCTGAGTGTTGCAGTTAAAGGAGTGTGCCGCCAGGAGTGCTCCCAAGCTTTTTCATTTTTTAAGATTTATTTACTTTATTATGTATACAGTGTTCTGCCTGCAGGCCAGAAGAGGCACCAGATCTCATTATAGAGGGTTGTGAGCCACCATGTGGTTGCTGGGAATTGAACTCAGGACCTCTGGAAGAACAAGCAGTGCTCTTAACTTCTGAGCCATCTCAAAGCTCTTAAGAAAAGATATACATATAATTTATATTGTTCATAAGAACTTTGAAGGGAAAATAAAGTATAACTCACAGTCTACACTAAACTTAGAAGCATGAAAAAATAATATTTCAATCAGACCCAATTTTTGAATGCACTGTTATAGTGTAGGTGAGAAAGTTACTGGCCATATGCAAATTAGAGTCCTTTATTTTTATCTGGTGGCCAAAAGTGGGCTAGTGCCTCAGAAAGACACCCAGTGCTGAAACTCAGGGGTACAGCACTGTTAAAGGTAAAAGACCCAGAGAACACAATGATACCAATGTTAGATGAAGGTCAGAGTAACCTTACAATATCTGTTTGGGCAGAACCATAGTTACATCAGACACAACAGGACAATTAATTTTGATTCATACCTTCACCACTTATTTCAGCTATGTTTAGTTTCTACAAACATTAATTATTTTGGTTAATTCACCTGGACCATGGTCAGAGTCACTGACAATCCTGCCGGGAGCCAAAGCTATCTACGGAAGCCAAAGTCAATTAGTGAGCCAAAGCTATCTAGTGGAGACAAAGGTAGTTACTGAAGCCAAAGCCAAGTAGAGAGCAAAGGTCATTTAGTGGAGACCTAAGGCTATTTAGTGAAAGAGTTATCTAAGACCCTAAATCACAGGTGATAGATTGTGGGGACATCCGTTTGTTAGAGCATCCATAAGATATCTTTAGAAACCATCCTTATGGTATCTTGCAGGTACAATATTTAACCCATGAAAGCACTCTTCCTATTTCCTGCAGCAGTAGATTAACCTTCCCCCTTTCCTGTTTTCTCCCTATATAAGTTGGGTAAAAATTTCTAGTAAACGGAAGCCTTGATCAGATGAACAGACTTGGCTTTCATTCCTGCATCTCTTGTCCCGCCCCCCCCCATTCCTTCCAATCTCTCCACCTTAGGAACCCCGTTGAAGCCCCTCGGGACGGGGCACAGTCCCAAATGTGTTGCCAAGATGAAGATGGCTGTTTGGGGTGGTGGTGGAGGTGGTAGAGGGCTGAAAAGACAGGGTTAGATGGTGGGGTCTTAGTCATTGCAATGCTTTTCCTTGAATCAATTATGACTTGATTTGTTGTTGTTAGTTACTTCATTATTTAAATTATTAGTTATTCAAATATGATCTTATTTTTACTATTATAAATAATAATCATATAATTATTAGTTTGGAGTCAGGGTCTCACCATGTAGTCCTGGCTAGCCTGAACTTACTGTGTAGAGCCCAAGCTGGCTCTGAGCTCACAGAATCGTCTGGCTTCAAGCCTCCTATGGGCTCAGATTACAGTCCTTGTCACTTCTCTGTTTTGTAAAAATTTTTGCAGCAGGAAGTTCAGGGCTTGTGTATTCACTCACCAAAGTCATCACAAACTGGATAACTTTTCCATTATTTCTAGTTCAGTTATCTCACGCTATGATTTTGTCTATATTGCCATTTTATTACTCTGAATTTCAAAGTACCCTTTTAGTTTGTTGTTGTTGTTCTGGGACAGGGTTTCTCTCTACATCCCTGGCTGTCCTAGAATTCTCTATGTAGACCAGACTAGCCTTGAATTCACAGAGCTCCACCTGCCTCTGCCTCCTGAGTGCTGGAATTAAAGTCATACGCCACGCTCGGCTCTCCCATAGCTTATTCATTACGTTTCTGTGCTGCTGAAGCTCAAGCCCAGGGCCTCAGGGTTAGAGTTAGGATTACGGTTGGCATGTTCTGTCACTAAGCTACATACCCAGTCCTCATTCCCATGACTTTGTATTCCTATCTAGCGCAACCTCTACTCTCTACAAATCTCTCTTCACTTTATACCACATTTGGGTATCTCAGATCAATCCCCAAGTCAACAACTCCCAAATGGAATTCATTCCCACCCTTATCAGACAACTTCCAAGTGGCTCCATTAATCTTTCCTCTTCTGTATTTTGACTAGCCTGCAACTGAGTTAAAGCCACACCCGGAATGTCTCCCTCTCCATCGGTTTAGAGAGCTTCTCTAGGTCTTAATTTCAAATATCTAAATCCTGGGCCCCACATTTGAATTCTCAGGCATATTGTCTTCTCTGAGAAAACTTAATTCATCCATTATGGACTAGTCCAGCGTCTCTCTGAATATTAATATAAAATTGTTTTCGCTGTTGTTATTTTAAATAATGCCGGCTACTAAAATCGGGAGGATAGAGATTTTGTTGTCTGAGCAACTTTGACAACCCTGAGTCCAAGCGACCACAACAAATATTGGGTGGTCATGGCTGCTCGCCCCGCCTTTTTTTCTGCAACCGGGGCTACCTTTCCAGTAGAGACTACGACTCCCAGAGTGCTTCGCGGGCCTGTAGCGCGCGCTGGGACGCGTCTTTAGGACCCGGATTGAGGCAAGATGGCGGGCCGGTGGTGAGTAGTTGTGGAGGTAACCTGTGCTCTCTTCTCCTCTGGGACAGGTCTGGAAGGCTTGTCCGTAGGCGTTGAGGACTTTTCTTTTTATGGTCGGCCGCTGGGCGAGGCTACCGGTGTCCCCTGACTCCATCCGGCAGGAGGGCCGGCTTGTGGTTGCGCCCTCCCTGTAGCACGCTAGCCGTGTGCAGGCGGGTGTCAGTCTGCACCTCCTTGACCTTGCGGCCGCTGAGACCCCTCCTGATCCAAGTCTTTCAGTAATTCGTGTGCTCCTGTTCGTCGAACTTCAGACCCTCCGGGTCTGGAACCGAGTTCGGTGCCGCTGGGCTCACCCTCGAAAGTGTCTGGAGCAATAGTTTGACCCTCATCTGGGTACGCTAGCTAGCATCGAGCAGAGGAAGCAATGTTCCCCACAAATGCTTTGATTTGGGGCTTGTAATCAGCACGCCACCACTTAAACAGTGGACTACTAAAACAATAAATCATTTGACTTCTCTCTGCCTTTGTTCCTAATCAAATGTCCGAAAGAGCACAGAATGTAAGGAAAGTGGGTTGCAAGCCATAAATAAATAGCACGCTGAATGAACTCAGGATTAGCAAGTCGCAGCATTCTGATAGTGTCCGGCTTCAGTGTGCAAATAAAGAGAGCCCGTGTCCTATTCCCTTTCATGACTGTTTGGCTAGGGAAGGGCACAGAGAGTCATTGAGACAAATAGAAAGTAAGGGCACAGTAATTATATGCTACCATTTATCTATAGCATTTCATGAAAATTGTGGTTGCTTCCCAAAGTTTACCACTGAAGAACTGGAAGGTCATTTAGATAATGACTTGCCTCAGAGTTTTCCAGTTTGTAAGTGAACACCTCCAGACTTTTTGGAAGCCAGTCCTTTATAAATTTTCATGATTCAAAATAAATACCCTTGACATAGCTTTAAATGTTATGGGACAGTACGAGGAAATGGTGATAAAAGCGCTTTGTTTAAAACCTCTAAGGTGGTGACATTATTTGTTCCTCTTCAGTTTTTTTGTGGAGCAGAGATAGGTCTTGTTGAGCTTTTCATTTCATCAGAAGCAATATTAGTATAAGTGATAAGGTCTTATGTGCGGTTCTTGGGAGTTAGTGTGTAGACTCAGTAGTATCTGAGGAGGCATATGCACTGTGTATTATGTGTGAATGACTTCCTAAGTATTTATGTATTTATTGAGCCCTCAGCAAGTGAAAAACTGCATTGAGTGATGAGAAGGTTGCATTTAAGAAAACTCACAGTAGACATAGTTGTTGGGTTTCTCATATTCTGATGTCATTGTTCTTTGTCCTGTTTTTAATTGTGTGGAACTGCAAAGTTGTCATTCTCCTCCCCTCTTCACTCCCCGACAGGGTTCCTCTGTGTAGCCTTGGCTGTCCTGGACTTGCTTTGTAGACCAGGTTGACTCACATTGATCCACCTGCCTCTGTCTGAGTGCTGGAATTACAGGTGTGCAATAGAGTTTAAAAGCCTTGTTTTCAAATCAATAGGAGTGGTTAATGGTGCATGTCTTTTGGTGTTGGTTTTGGTTTTCAGACAGGGTTTCTCTGTGTATCCTTGGCTGTCCTGGACTTGCTTTGTAGACCAGGCTGGCTTACAACTTAGAGATCTTCCTGTCTCTGCCTCCCTGAGTGCTAGGATTATAAGGGTGCACCATGGCGCCCAGCTCTATTTTATTGTAGTGTTTAAATTTACTTTTGTAGCTGATTTTTCTTTTATCTCTCAAGCAGGAATAAAAATCTGTGTGCCTAGAGACAGATTTTAGAAGCACTTTCTCTTCACAATATCGTTTTAAAGATCATGGCGGCGGCAGTAAAATGGGTCATAACAAACAGAAGTGTCTGGAAGCATTTATTTCCAATCCAAAGTAAGTGAGGCAAAGTTTTATGCTTTTTCAAATATAGAATATGTAAAGCGTTTTGTTATTTTATGTGCCTACTATTTGCAGTCATAAAGAGAGGACAAAATTCAAATGTTAGTCAAAAAGGGAATGAATAAATTATGCTACATCTTAACTATGATTATCATGCAGCTGTTATCAACATGGAAAGATCACCAGATAGAGAAAGAAAAAAACCTGCTTTATCAGAGAAGGATCCTGTTGTGGGCTTTAAAGATGACGTGTGTGTGTGTGTGTGTGTGTATGTGTGTGTGTGTGTGTGTTTGTCTGCCTGTGTGTACACGCGTGTGTACATGCAAAAATGCTGAGTAAAAGATCTGAGCTAATCATTGGCTATCACTAAAACACAAGTAGGATTTAGGTGAACTGACAGAGGGTAACTTCCCCTTCATAGGGATCATTTATACTTAGTACATTTTATACCTGTTAAATTTTTTTTTTCTTTTTTTTTTTAGTAGCTCTCAAAAATTGGAAATAAAAAGCAAATCCATAGTTCCATCTTCCAGGACTAATCATTGTTAATATTTTGGAAGGTTTTTTTCTTATGGATATAGCTATTAAACACATAAATTACTTCCTTTCTAAGGGTCGTTTTTCTCGAAAGTCTATTAATACTTGCTTGATAGTCTGTTGATTCACAAATAAATAGACGTAAAAATCCTGTTTCTCAGAGCTAACTAGCTGATTTCACACCCTGCCTCACCAAAGCAATAAATGGGTAACTTGGGGTCATTCGAGGCAAGCCAATCCCATTTTTATTATTTATTAGTTAATTATTTATTATTTATGATGTATAGTGTTCTGCCTGCATGTACACCTGCACGCCAGAAGAGGACACCAGATCTCACTATAGATGGTTGTGAGCCACTGTGTGGGTGCTGGGAATTGAACTCAGGACCTGTAAGAGCAGCCGGTGCTCTTAACCTCCGAGCCATCTGTCCAGTCCCCCAAATCCCATTTTTAAAGAAAGCCTTTTCTGTTGTATGTCTTCACTCATACCCTCTCTGTCATCCTTTTTTTACCCTTAATTAAGTTCTGGGATCAAATGACATAAACTTTAAAAATACATAAAAATCCATACCCAATGTCAACTCATATAAAAGCTTTGAATTTTTTCTCACAAAGGAAGGCTTTTTCTTGATGCTGTTTGTACTTTCTTTTTAGATTGTGGATTTTTCTTTGCCACCAATGTTAATATCCTTCTCCTCATAGAACTTCAAAAATAACAATAGTCTACCTTCAGACATAGAAACTGTAGCCAAGGTACTCTTGTCAAGTCAGTCGCTGGATCTTAGGATGACTAAATAAGGAACAATTTGATGGCCCCGGACACCCATATCAGTTAATCAAACATTTCTATATCTCCCTTTGTGTATAAGAGGGACTGAGGTTACCATTGCTGTACTAGGGCCACGGTACAACTGTAGTGGGGAATGTAATAGGAAAAATATCATTTCAGTAAAGGGGAGCAAATAAGTAATCTCCACATTAACTCTTGGGAAGACTAAAGGCTGTGTTAGGCCTGATGTCTCACCAGCCTGGGATGGGCTTCTCTTAGGACACAGGAAGTGAGGTTGCAGGAGTCTTTCTCAACTTCCCACCAAGCTTGATGACCTGAGGACCATCTCTGGGGCCCACATATAGAAGGAGAGAAGCAATTCCACAGACAAACGTGTAATTTTAAAAATTCTGCAAGGGTTTACCTCCTCTTCATTTTAAGGCTCTGAACATTATTTCATTTATCGCATCCTATTTAAAACAACAACAGGCAGGCTCGATGGTGGTGCCAATCTGGAATCCCAGCACTCAGCAATGAATCTCTGTGAGTTTGAGGCTAGGCTGGTCTACAAAGCAAGTCTAGGATAGCCAAGGCTACACAGAGAAAAGGATTTCTCTGTCTTGAAAAACAAAACAAAAAGCAAACCAAAATCAACCTTTTTTTTTTTTCCCTCCCCTAAGACAGGGTTTCTCTGTGTAGCCTTGGCTGGCCTGGACTTGACTTGACCCCTTGTCAAGTCAGTCACATAATTCTTGTAACTTAGTCACCGCATTCCTCCTCCTTTCTTTTGCTGGTTCTTGTCCTCTCCCTAGTCTCCCTTTTGCTCCTGTGTCACATATTTGTACATATATTTAAATCTAGATTTCCATATGAGAGAAAACATGGAGTGTTCCTTTCTTCATTATGCTCCCTGCTTCCCCCCTCCCTTCTCTTTAAACTTCCTTCCCTTGTGCCGCTTCTCTGTAAAACAGCAACAAAAAATGAGCAAAAGGAACACATTGGTTGATGTCTACATTTCCCTTTATGGTCAGGGGAACTAAACTCTTTTACTCTGTGGGTTTTTGCAGGTGGAGCTTTATCTATTGCTTGTCATAAATCTACGTATTCTTCTCTTCCAGATGACTACAATTGGTATGTATAAAAATTCAGTTGAAAATAGCAGTCATAGCTGTATCTGAAATGATTTTATGCTTGCTTTTCTGATTATTCTGTCTTTAATTTTGTTTTTAAAATTGTGTTTTATTTATATGGTCTCTGGATTTACACGTTTTTCATTAAAACGATTACCATTGTGTTCCAGTGAATATTCACATCTTTTATAACAGGCTTGCTCTTTTTCTGAAGCAGGCTTTAAACTTTTTCGAAGGTTAATTTGCTTTTATAGTTTTATGTTAAGTTTTCTATCTATTTTTCTGTCTTTTGTTTGACACTGGATAATTCCAAATTACACTGTTGAATTCAGCATCATTTGTTTGGTATTTATTTTTAGTCACTATTCTAAGAACTAGGAATAGCATATAATTTGTTCCTTTTTATTTTTATTTTTTGCAGCAGAGCTGATTTGCAGAAAAGACAATATGTTTTCTTAAGTCATGTGAGTTTTATTGCAAATTTTAGTAAATAAAAAAATTAACAAAAACGGCCCAGCTAGACTCAAATTCACTATATAGCTGACTCCCATTTCTCCTCCCAGTGCTTATATAAGCCTCTATGTCCAGAATTGTTCATATATTTTTTAAAAATTTATTATGTGGGGCTTATTATTGCCAGCATGTATGTATGTACACCACGTGTGTTCCTGTTCTCTGGGGAGGTCAGAAGAGGGGGTCAGATGTCCTGGAGCAGGAATTAGGCTATTCCTTGTGAATAGCCATGTGGGTGCTGGGAACTGAGCCAGGGTCCTTTACAAGAGCAACAAGCCATCTTTCCAGCCCATACTTTCTTTTTGACACTACTTTTAATTGTACATTTAATGACTACTAAGTTAAATAGCTAGTGATGAAATTAAACTAGGTTATATTTTCTTCAGTCTGAACAGATTGAGTGATGTCAGTGTTTTATATTACGTAAACCTTCCTAAAGCCAGCTGTGGTGGTTATCCTAGCACTTGGAAAGCTAAGGCAAGAGGATCTTGAGTTCAAAGCCAACCTGAACTGTCTAGTGAGTTCAAGGCCATCTGAGCTACTAGTGAGACCTTGTCTCAAGAAAGGGTGGTGGTGGTAGAGAGATGGATCAGTGGTTAAAAGTGTGTGCTGCTCTTTCAAGCATGTGGGTTTGGTTCCCAGCACCCACATGATGATTTATAACTCATGTATAGCTCCAGTTCCAAGGATCTGATAACCTCTTCTGACCTCTGAGGGCCCTGGGAACACACCTGAGACACGTATATACATGCAGGCAAAACATACGCATAAAATAATAATAAATAAATCTTTTTTTAAAAGTTTAAAAGCTCATTTGGACATGGTGGTACACGTATTTAATCCCAGCCCTGGAGAGGCAGATGCAAGTGAGGCTTTGTGAGGCCAGGCCAACCGGAGGGACAGACTGAAATGTCTTTGTGCCAAAAACAAACAAGCAAACAAGTAAATATAATTTGTTGGTAGAAATGTTATTGGAGTTATGTTTAGAATTTTGTGGTAAAATCAGAGTGAAACAATGCAGATGAAATACAATTTACAGCCACTACTGTTTATTTCTTATGGTAGTTAAGCTGACATATTCTGCTATGGTCCTAGTTGTCACTTATGCTATAGGTACTAGATTTTCCAGTCAAGCAACACACATGTTCCCTTTAGCAATTTGTGATTAATTAATTTTCCATTAAATTTAACTATTTTGCTATTGCAGCACACATGTATATTCAACATAGTTTCTTAGCCTGAAATTAGCAACCTTAGATAAATACATTTTTAAAATAATTTTATTTATTTGTTTTATTTTATATACATTAATGTTTTGCCTGCCAATGTCTGTGTGAAGGTGTTAGATTTTGAAGTTACAGACGGTTGTGAGCCACCATGTTGGGGCTGGGAACTGAACCCGGGTCCTCTGGAAGAGCAGTCAGTGCTCTGCTGAGCCATCTTTCCAGCAATAAATACATTTTTATTACATTTATGTATTTGTGTGTGCATGTAGAGGTTAGAGGAATCTCGTTTTACCACATGGTCCTGGGGATCCATAACTCCAGTTATTACTTTTACCCACTTAGCTATCTCGCCATCTCCAACCAATTTTTAAACTTTTAGTGCTATAGCGTATGACTCTCTTTTTACCTTAAATATTGAATTGCTCAGAACCTATTTCAGATTAGACCCAGTTATATTCAGCTATAAGAATTCAGTGGTCAGTTGCTGGCCAGTGGTGGCCCATGCCTTTTAATTCCAGCTTTGGGGGCCCATCATCAGTTAACATTTCAGTTAGGTTAAAAAGTTCCATAATGGCTGGTTATGCAGGCTGGTAGGATTTGCTGAAGGAGTCAGAGGCAGGAGCTTTTGGAGTTTAGGCAAGCCTGGGATACACATTAAAAAAAAAGTTCCATAATGCTTTTCTGTATTTTTCCTTTGTTTTCTTCTTTGTCTAGAATAGTCTGTCTTAAACTTAAAGTATCTTCTTTTCCCCTACCAAGGTTTTTTCTGTGAAGCCCTGGCTGGCCTGGAACTTATTGTGTAGACCAGGATGGCCTCAAACTCAGATCTGCCTGCCTCTGTCTCCTAAGTGCTAGGATTAAAAGGTGTGTCACCAGGCTGGAGAAATGGCTCAGCGGTTAAGAGACCTCTCTGCTCTTCCAGAGATCCTGAGTTCAATTCCCAGCACCCACATGGTGGTTTACAACCATTTATACTGAGATCTGTTGACCTCTTTTGGAATGCAGGTGTACATGAAGATAGAACACTCAAACATAAAAAAATAAATAAATATTAAAACAATAAAAATAAAAGGTGTGTTACCACTGGCTTAAAGTAGCATTTTGAAACCCAGGCTTTGGGGCTAATATGTTCTTGAAGTCTTAGAAAGCTTCACTAAAATACTCCAGCCTGTAGAATATCAACCCTCTGTTTTAATATGGAGCTTTCAACTTAGGTTGACTTGTGTGGCAAATGCATAGCTATCATCCATGGCTTTATAAAAGTCATCCCAGAAGCACTTGGTTTGTCCCCTGATGTCATATGTAGCAGTAGCCATGTCCTTGGGCTGCATTTGCTCCAGTGGCTCACTTGACTTGAGGCACCTGAGCACACTGGGCATGTGAGTGTGGTCTATACTGCCAGGGTTTCATGGCTTTATTGCCCTCACCTGTCTCTAGCACTCCGAGGCCTAGCTTTCAGCCTTGGGTTGATTTCTAATTAGCTTTCTCATTAAGAGCAATTAATTATTCTAGCTGAGCATATCTGTAACAGGAGGCAGAGTCATGAGTATCAAGAGTGTAAGGTCATCCTTGGCTACATAGTAACTTCAGAACCATCCTGGAACACTAGAGCCCCTATGTCAAAACAAAAGTCATTCTGCCAGATATGATGGTATATGCCTGTTTATGCAGTCACCGAGGAGCAGGAAGATTGCCCTGTGTTTGAGGCCGCCGTGGGCTACATAGAAGTTTAATGACTAGATGGAGTGCAGAGTGAGATCTTGTCTCAAAAAAAGCTAAAACCCAAGCCTAAAAGTAATCATGCTGCCTTGAGTACAGTCTAACTGTTTTTAAAACATTTCTTTCCAGCAAGGTAGAGCTGGCTTTGACATCCGACGGCAGGACAATAGTGTGCTACCACCCTTCTGTGGACATCCCCTACGAACACACCAAAGTATGTGCCGGGAAGCGTGTCTCACAGCCTTCATTGTTTTGGGTCTTTTAGCTTTTCTAGTTTACCATCTTGACTTTTCCTCTTAGTTTTTAATCGTCTTTCCTTAAAAGCTTCTTAGTATGCAAGGGAACTTCTGAAGGGCAATTAAGACGTCAGTTTTCCAACCTAAGATATTTGATAAACACTAGACCTGGTGGCAGAGACCTGTAACCCTGACCACTTGGCCTGAAGCAGGAGGACATCAGATTCATGTTAGTGAGATGTTGCATAAAATTTAAGATTTTATACAAGGAACGTAGGAGATTGGATGAACACTGTAGTGTTTGTGAGGTTTTGGGTCAAATCTCTAGCATCTCTCTCTCTCTCTCTTACACACACACACACACAAGATAAAACTGCAAAATAGATTATATATCCCATACTACCATATATAACAAAAGGCTTGTATTTTAGAGTACTGTTTTGTAGCTTTTGTGCTGCTGATTCTGATAATCTTTTGAAGTTTTAAGATTCCTTTCATTTGTGTATGTGCATGTACATGCCATGGTAGTTGTGTGGAAGCTACCATGTGGGTCCCAGGAACTGAACTCAAGTCGTCAGGCCTGGGACAAGTGTGCTTTCTGTTGGACCATTTCCATTTCAAAGACCCAAATAATCTTTTTAGTGTTTGGTGAATTTAACAATTTTTTAAAGTTTGTTTTTATCTCGTGTGTGAGTGAATGCCAAGTGTTTATGGGTTGGCTCCCTTAGAGGTGGAGTTACGGTGTCTGTAAGCCCCCTGGCATGGGTGCTGGGCACTGAAGAGTCCTTGGAAGTGCAGTGTGCATTCTCGGCCATTGAACCATCTCTAGCCCCAGCCATTTTTTCAATATGCCAAAATGGAGTTTTTGTTTTTCTAGTGTTTTTTTTTTTTTTTTTTTTAATTTTTATATATATAAATATTTTGCCTACATGTATGTCTGCCCCAAGTGCAGGCCTGGTGCCTGCAGAAGTCAAAAGATGGCATTGGATCCACTGGAACTGGGGTTAGAGATGGTTGTGACCCACCATGTGGGTGCTGGGAACTGGACCTGGGTCCTCTGAAAGGACAGCCAGTGCTGAGGTATCTTTCTAGCCCCAGTGGGTAAATGTTTTAAGTTACTTAGTTTAATTTTTTTCTTATATCTTCATTTGTTTTCCTATCTTTAGGCACAAGATAAAAATGTTTTTTTAATATAATTTATTTTAATTTTACTTAGGTCTTTGTTATTTTTTTGTTCAGAGTATTTTATTTTTTTGTTTTGTCGTGTTTGTGTGTTTGAAACAGTCTTACTCTGGAACTCGGGCTAGCCCAGAACTGTCCCGTACAGACCATGCCTGACTGGCTATCTACTACCTTTTTTACTTTATTTTATTTTATTTTTTAATTTTTGAGACAGGGTTTCTTTGTGTAGCCTTGGCTGTCCTGGACTCGCTTTGTAGACCAAGTTGACCTCTGCCTCCCTGGGTGTTGGGAATACAGGCATGCACCACCTTGCCTGAGATCCTCTTGCCTCTGCCTCCCAAGTGCTGGGATTAAAAATGTGCACTAGGGGGTTGGAGAGATGGCTCAGAGGTTAAGAACACTGGCTGTTCTTCTAAAGCTCCTGAGTTCAATTCCCAGCAACCACATAGTGGCTCATAACCATCTGTAGTGAGATCTGATGCACAGTACACATGCAGGCAGAATGCTGTATAAATAGTAAATAAATAAATCTTTTAAAAAAAAAAGTGCACTAGCATGCCTGGCAAATATTTCAAACTACAATGAGAATTTGGAATATTTTAGAATTAAGACTGCTAGGGATAGGGCTGGAGAGATGGCTCAGCACTGTCTGCTCTTCCAGAGGTTCTGAGTTCAATTCCCAGCAACCATGTGGTGGCTCATAGCCACCTACACTGGGGTCTAATACCGTCTTCTGGCATGCAGGTGTACATGCAGAACACTCATACATACAATAAATAATAAATAAAATCTTTTTAAAAAAAAAGACTGCTAGGGAATAAGAGATAGCATTTGTTAACACTTGACATTAACATTTTTATTAATTTTTTTATTGCACCTGTGTGTATGGACATATGCTTGTCATGGTGTGGTGGTTTGAGTGAGAATGGTCTCCGTAAGCTCTTACATTTGAAAGCTTGGCCACAAGGAAGTGGCACTACTTGAGAAGGATTAGGAGGTGTGGCCTTGTTGGAGGACGTGTGTGTCATGGGGTGGGTTTCTAAAGTCCCACTCCTTCTGCTGCCTGCAAATCCGGATGTAGAAATCTCAGCTTCGCCAGCCACTGCCTGTGTGCTGCCATGCTTCCCTCCACGATGGCAATGACTAAGCCTCTGAAGCTGTAAGCCAGCCCCAACTAAGTGCCTTCCTTTGTAAGCGTCTCCTCTTGTCATGCTGTCTCTTCACAGCAGAACGCTGACTAAGACACATTGGCGTGAGTGTGGAGGCCAGAGGATAACTTTGTAGACTCAGTTCTGTCGTCTTTATGTGGGTTCAGGGACCACACTCAGCTTGCTGGGCTTTCTCAGGAAGCACCTTTATCTACTGAGGCATCTTGCTAGCTCCAAACACTTTCTTTATAATATTTTAAAAAATGAAGAAGTCTAGCCAGGCTATGGTGGTGCATGCCTTTAATCCCAGCACTCAGGAGGCAGAGGCAGGTGGAACTGTATGAGTTCAAGCCATCCTGGTCTACAGAGTGAGTTCCAGGGTAGCCAGGGTTATACAGAGAATCCTTGTGTTGAAAAAAAAAAAAAAAGAAAGAAAGAAAAAAAAGGTTGGTAAGTTTTTTGGGGCAAAGTCTCACTGTAGCCCAGGCTAGCTCTCTTTATGTTATCCAGGCTATCTAGAACTCCTGTAATTCAGAGTATTCTCATAATGACAGTCCTCTGTCTCAGCCTCCTCAGTGTTGAAATGGCAGGTGAGTGCTGACATTCCTGCCTTACAACATTTGGCCTTTAGTAACAAATATCAAAACCTAAAAGAGAAAAGTCTTCCGTGAAGGCTGTGTCAGCTAAGTAGCAGCAGGGGTGGAGATCAGGGTATTTACGAGCAGCGCACTGAGGAAATGGATGCTGTAGTGATAGTAAGCTGCCGCTGTACTCCGTCGGCTGGGACCCGGGCATTTCTGGAGGCGCCCGGAGAGGGTTACAGAAGTCGAGCCACCAGTTCCTCCTCACAGGAGGCTGACCAGGCAGTTGCTGGGCAGAGTGTAATTTTACCATGTGCTTGCAGTGGCCTGTGTGCAAGGTTATGGTTTTGAGTGAGTCCCTGTTAGTTCTTACTATCAGATATATGTGTGTGAGAGCTCTGTCAGAATCCCCCAGCTCTCCATATATTTAGTTGAGGCTTGGCACTTTGGTTGCGGCTCTGTTTTGATTCTGACAGCTTTTACAGCTCTCATGCTGTGCTCACTAGTGCCTTTCAAGGGATAGTCATTCACAGTGACTAATATTTTGCTTTCTAGAAAAGAGACTGTCTTTTAAGATTGCTTTAACTGTCTAAGGAGTGCTTCTTTAAAATATGCTTGTAGCACTTGTGTCCTGTGTGAGGCCTTAAGGGAAATGTCAATAAGTACCATTTATTGAAATCTTTAAGAGTTTGAGGACGGCGGGAATACTATACATTACCATTCGCTTGATCTGCAATTTTACATATGTGAGTCTGCAAGTTTACCTGCATGCCAGAAGAGGGCATCATATCTAATATAGGTGGTTGGGAGCCACCATGTGGTTGCTGAAAATCAAACTCAGACCTCTAGAAAAGCAGACAGTGCTCTTAGCCACTGAGCCATCTCTCCAGCCCCCAGAGCACTATTCTTAACTTCTTCATTATTCTTTCTCTCTAGCTCTCCCATGCTAGTGGTTATTTCATACCACTAATAAGTACATGGTTTCCTACTAACCTTGCTGTTTGTGTTTCTTTGTTTGTTTTTGACACAGGGTCTGGCCTGGAGCTTACTATCAACACCAGGCTGGCCTCAGACTTGTAGAGATCTTCCAGCCTCTGCCCCCTGGGTGCTGGGATTGCAGACACACACCATTCCTATGCCCAGTTTAGGAATGTTGCTTTTCAGTAAGAGGTTGTCTGAGTTCTGTTCTACTATTGTGAAGAGATGCCATGACCAAGGCAACTTATAAAAGAAATCACTTAATTGGGGGCTTGCTTACAGTTTCATAGGGTTGGTCTGTGATCATCATGGCAGGGGGCATGATGGCAGGTAGGCAGGCATGATGCTGGAGCAGAAGCTAAGAACTTACACGTAATCTACAAACAGAGAGGGAAAACTGGGCCAGGCATGGGCTTTTGAAACCTCAAGCCCACCCCCAGTGACATGCCTCATCTAGCAAAGGCCAAAACTGCTCCTTCCTCGTCCACCAACTGGGAACTATGGACCTTAGTATATATTTTGGGGAAATAAAAAAAAAAAGATAACAAGTATCTTATTATTGAGGAAAAATAATTAGCAAGAACTTTTGTTTTTGTTTTTTTGGTTAATTATTTGTTTGTTTTGTTTTTTGAGACAGGGTTTCTCTGTGTAGTCTTGGCTATCTGTCCTAGACTCAATCGGTAGACCAGGCTGGCCTCTAACTCACAGAGATCCGCCTGCCTCTGCCTGGCTCTGCCTCCCCTACTGCTAGGATTACAGGTGGCTTTAAGAATTTTTATTACTGGAAAAGAAACCCCAAATCTTTTGTGAGCGGAAAAGTATTTCTAACTCTAACACAGCTAACTGAAAGTGCTCGGGTAGGTCACTTACAAGGCAGCATCAATGAATGAACCCTGAGGGTGGTTGTTTTACCATAAAGCCAGCAGTCAGTTTCCAGCTTACAGTTCTCCACTTCACTGTTTATGATTTTCTTCTTTTATAGCCTATCCCTCAACCAGATATTTTGCATAATAATGAAGAAACACATGAGCAACTGATAAAAACCAAATTAGAAGAAAAAAGCAAACAACTTAAGCAAGGAGCCATGGTAGAACAGCTCAGCAAGGTGTTCTTCACTACAAAGCATCGCTGGTACCCACGTGGACAGTAAGTGTCATCCCTTTCTTATGCTCCCACCACCCACGCTGAGGAAGCATGTGGCTTCCTTTGCACTGACAACTATACTATGTGTATTCTTCCATCTACATATGCCGGAGTTAAAATATCACCTTATTTTTATTAATGCAAGAGTTTAAAAAAAATTCTCCTTCCTGATAATAACTGATCTTATTCTCAGCACTTTAAAGGTTTATTTATTTTCTTATCTGCTGTGTGTGAGTGATTTGTTTACATGTAAATACACTCTGTGTCAGAGGCCTGAGGAATACACCAGATTCCCTGCAACTGGAGCCACCGTGTGCATACTAGAAACCAAGCCTACGTCTTCTGCAAGAGCAGCAAGGGCCCTCAGCCTTTGAGCCATCTCCCCAGACTCCCTTTATCCACTTCTAACAGATTTTTAATTATTACAAAAAGAAAAGGAGAAAAAGTCATGCAGGGTCTGATTTGGCCCTAGTTTGTTGTTTAGTTCCTTTAAAAACTTTTTGCTGTTCTGTTTACAGTGCTCACTCTGTGGGGTTTGTTTGTTTTGGTTTTTGGAATAAGGATTCTCTGTGTAGCCCTGGCTGTCCTGGAACTCACTGTGTAGACCAGGCTGGCCTTGAACTCAGAGATTTGCCTGCCTCTGCCTCCTGGATGCTGAAGTGGAAGGTGTGTGCCATCAGTGCCCAGCAAATTGTGCTGTTCTTATGCTTGTCTGACTGGGACTCTAGTTTTGTTTCTTTCTTTCTTTTTTTTTTTTTTTCTTTTTTTGTGGTTTTGAATTAATCTTTCTTTGTGCATATGTGTTTGTAGTGTGTGTGTGTTTGTGCATTTTCACGTTAGTGAGCATGCCCATGGAGGCCAGATGTCAATGCAGAGCATCTTTCTTGGTCATTTTTCACCTTGCTTACTATTTTCCATTTCCCCTGGCCTCCTGTTATTTGCTTATTTTTATAGATTTATTTATTTTTAATTTATGTGCATGAGTATTTTGCCTACCTCATGTGTGTATACTACATGTGTGCAGTGCCCCAGGAGGTGAGAGGAGGTAGGCACTGGATCCCCTGGAACTGGAAGGAGAGATGGCTTCGAGCCACTATGAGGGTGCTGGGAGTTGAACCTAGGTCCTCTATGAGAACTGCCAGTGCTCTTAACCACTGAGCCATCTCTCTAGTCCTCGCCTTATTTGTTGAGAGAGGCTCTTTCTTCTGAACTCGGATCTTACTGATTACTGAGACTGGTTGGCCAGCAAGTCCCTGGGATGCTCCTGTTTCTGCCTCTTCAGTGTCTGCTGAAGTGTCTGCTGCTTACAAGTGTCTGCTGCCATGCTAGCTGACTTTTTACATAGGTGATGGAGATTTGACTCAGGTCCTTATGCTTAGATAGAAAGTACTTTAATGGTTGAGCCAGCTCCTAGGCCCTTCTATCTGTCTGTCTGTCTATTTTCCCTCTTTTTTTTTTTTTTTTTTTTTTCAGCATGTCTGGGATTCATACTCCCAGCTCTGATTCCAGTCCTTTCTTTTTTCTTTTCTTTTCTTTTCTTCTTCTTCTTCTTCTTCTTCTTATTATTATTATTTTACACTTTATTCACTTTGTATCCCCCCATAAACCCCTCCCTCCTCCTCTCCCGATCCCACCCTCTCTCCCCCTTCTTCATGCATGCCCCTCCCCAAGTCCACTGATAGAGGAAGTCTCCTTCCTTCTGATCTTAGTCTATCTGATCACACGCGGAGTGGCTGCATTGTCATCTTCTGTGGCCTGGTAAGACTGCTCTCCCCTCAGGGGGAGGTGATCAAAGAGCAGGCCTGTTAGATTGTGTCAGAGGCAGTCCCTCTTCCCATTACTATGTAACCCACTTAGACACCAAGATGAAAAATATAAGCAAGTATTTATAAGATCATGGATGACGGGCAGCCCAGATAGGAATGGGTACAGCAGATGGTATTGGATCAGGGCTGGGAGATGGATGATGAGGTTATTGAGAGTAGAAATATCTGCACAGCCCAAGGTTATAAGGCAATTATAAAATATGACAGGTGTCTGTATTTTATTGTGATAACAGGTTAAGTAATACCGTCATAAAATAATTATAGGGCTAATAATAAATGACATATAGCCCCAACACCCATTTAATTTACAACAGCTGCCTCTGCCATCTCGCCAGCCCCATTGTCTGTCTGTCTGTCTGTCTGTCTGTCTGTCTGTCTGTCTATCTATCTATCTATCTATCTATCTATCTGTCTAGCTATCTGGGGGACTGTGTGCAGGTGTGCAGAGAGGTTATGGGACAATGTCAGCTCTTGTGTCATTATCAGAAGCTGTCTACTTTTTTTGTTTTTAAGACAGTCCACCTTTCTTTAGGTTCAATAGCCTGGAACTCACCACCTACACTAGGCTGGTCAGCAAGCCTCAGGGTCTTACCAGTCTTCACCTCCCTAGTGCTGGGATTACAAGTATTCGCATCATGGTTGGCTCTTTTTACATGGGTTCTGGGGATTCAACTCAGGCCCTTAGGCTTGCAAGGCAAATGCTTTCCTGACTGAGCTCTCTTCCCAGTTTTTTATTTTATTTTTTTGGTTTTTTTCAAGATAGAGTTTCTTTGTGTAGCCTTGGCTGTCCAGGACTCACTTTGTAGACCACACTGGCCTCCAACTCACAGAGACTGCCTGCCTCTGCCTCTGCTAGGACTACAGGTATGCACCACCGTGCCCAGCTGGGTTTTTTTTTTTCGTATTATCTAGAGACTTGAATTCAAGCCTCCTTTTCCGCTTCCTTACTGGCTTTCAGTACTTGCTTCCTTCCTTAGAATTCCAGATTGCTTTAATCTTTTGTAAACATTGTTCATAACTAAGTCGTTGAAGTTGTGAAAATTGCCTGACCATATTTCATTTGAAGGGGAAAGACTGAAGGCAAGCAGATTATTCAGGGTATTATCTAGAATCTTACGTAGTTTTAATCTTATTTGCTTATTTAATCTTATTGCTACTAATTAGCTTTTGACTGCTAATTAATGTAATCTCCTAGTATATCTTTACCCCTCAGGATTGTGAAGCACTTTGAATTGTAAGCAGATTTTAATTAGGTGGAATTGATTGTCCCAATACTTCTCCCAATAAAGAGCTCAGTAGAAGACCCCAGATACTAGTTTGCATGCATAAAGAAAACATGTAGCTTAGAATCATTGTCCTTTCAGAACATTCATTAATATTTGTTTAGTATCTGTTTGTATATCTACACATATAAATATATACAAAATTTATTAGCATTTGTGCATGATGGGTATGTGTGTGTATATACGTGTGTGTGTGTGTGTGTGTGTGTGTGTGTGTGTGTGTGTGTTTAGGTTCCAAGGATGGAATTCAAGTTGCCAGGCTTGTGTAGTAGGCTCCTTTACTCACTGATCTGTCTTGTTGACCCCTACATGACTGTTTTTTATTAATGTTTATCATCTGAAAATATTTCTGAACATTAGTTGTAGAGGAATTTTAATTTCAGAACATAGCTGTTCTGGCAAGAGATCACATCCAAAGATCTTCTAGGTCTGTGTGATCTAGCTGGAATACAAACATGCCTTTAATCTAGGACACAGGCAAACAGGTCTAAGTTCAAGGCCATCCTGGTATAGAGCAAGTTTCAGGTAAAGAAAAGCTTAGGTCCAGGCAAGTACATGCCTTTAATCCCAAACAATGAAGGTAAAGTTAGTTTGTAGAAGGAAGCACCCATGTTTGATGTCTAATTGAGTAGAAGAAATAGTGATGAATCAGAGAAAGATTTGACAAAAGAGGATACACCCAACTCTTGAAGAGAGAGGAAAGGGAAGCTACTTAAAGGGCAATGTAGAGAGAGAGAGAAAGAAGAGGCAGTTTTACTGGGACAGTAATAAAGAGATGGGTTAGAGAGAACAAGCTAGTCACCAGTGAAGACAAAACGAGCCAGAGAATGAAAAGAAGCCAGGAGATTAGAGCAGATTGCTGGAGTTAGCTGGAGGCCAAGCATAGCAATTCAGAGGCTGAGAAGAGCCTGATTGAATAAGATAGCTGGGAGAGGAGTTTGAGCCAGAACAGCTGATTTGGACCATCCAGCCCAGACCTCAGAACAAGAAAGGGTGAGCCTAGAGGTTGAAAACACTCTAGACCTAGGTTAGATTGTATGGAGGCTAGAAGCTTCTAAGACTAGGCCTAGGTTAGCAGAAGGAGGCAGTAAGCCTCTGAGACAACAATTACTTCAGGAGAATGGAAGTTCATTTTACCATCTGAACCATTTTTCCTTAAGACTCAATAATATATAGAATGATTTGTCAACATTTCAGTTTTAAGGTCTGGCAGTCAAAAGAATGAACATGCTATGATTTAAAAATGAGATATCTAATATCTTTTTCAATGTTTTTAGAGGTATACAATGTTGTTTTTAAAGGTTTGTAAGATACAAAAATAGAAATCTCCATATTCCATTCATGCTGTGCTCCCTGCAGGTAAATGTCATTCGCATCTACCCTCATGGTAGCCTGTGCTCTATCTACTCAGTTGTGTGCTGTTTGAATTCGAGTACAGCCTTCTCTTGAGAGAACAGCTTTGTGTCAGAAGTGCCTGGGCTCACTCTCACTCTGCGCTTGTCACCTCCTAGCCACTTGCTCAAGCTAGTTTGTTGACGTGTATGTCAGCCCTGACTCTAGTAATGTAGAGTCATGTGTTTACATGACCATAAATGAGTTTTGAGGTTCCTGAAGTCCTCTTTTTTGTTCTCTGCGATGATTTCTCAGCAATCTTAGATCTTTTGTATTTATGAAGTCAGCTTGCTTCTAAAAAGCTTTTTTCCTTAAAAAGCCTGCTGGAATTTTAAATAGGATAGCATTTGGTCTGCAGGCCAGTTAAGGACTTGAGTCCTTAACATAACTGGGGTTATTTATTAATATGATAACTTTTTTTCCATTTTTTTTTTTTTTTAGAAAAAAATTGGCCAGGTTGGCCTCAAACTCAGATCCACCTGCTTTTGCCTCCTGAGTGGTAGGATTTTAAAGGCATGAGCCACTACTACCTAGTTAGAAAATTTTTGTAATGGTGTTTCTTCTTTGTGGGGGAGGCTTATGTTGTAGTTTTTGTTTGTTTGTTTGTTTGTTTGTTTTAAATAATTTTGTTATTTTTTGAGATTATAATAGAATTGTACCATTCCTAACTTTACTTTCCTCCCTCCAAAGCTCTTCTTATACCCACCCTTTGTTTCTTTCAAATTCATGAGTTTTTTTTTCTTTAATTGTTGTTACATACATATGTATTTATCTAAATTGGTTATATATACTATTAATCATATATGATTATTGCACAGTTACTATTTAACCTACTATAATATGAATAAAAGACACAGACACCCCTTAGATTTTAAATATGCTTTAAACTCTGGGGCTGGTTAGATATAAACCTCCTAAGCTACTGTGTTACCTCACAGCTCCATATCCCATGCCAATTGCTCTAATAATTCCTAGCTGGGCTACTTCCTATCCAATATCTCATAAATACTTGCATGTTTCTCTTTCTCCTCTCCCGTCTCTCTCCCCCCATCTTCCCCTTCCTATGATCCCTGGGCCCACTAAGGCCCAAACCTTAGCTCCTCCTACCTCTCATCTACATTACCTGGGTGTAGGTATTTATTCAGCTAATCAGGGATAATTTGGAGGTAGAGTTACACAGTATCATTTTGGTATATGTGAGGGTTTCCTTATGCAACAGAAAGAATCTCAGGGGACAAGCAATTAATTGCCAAGCACGAGACAATGCTGTAACAGTTAAATATATTCCTAAACATAAAAATACAAACTGCTCACTCTGTATAATGTTACTTAAATGTATGTATTTTCAAGGCTGAGGTGTTTTTTTTTTTTTTTTTTTTTTTTTTTTTTTTTTTTTTTTTTTTTTT